ATCACAATAGATCAGGTACTATAGTTGAGGTGTTACCACAGCAACGGTAAAATCACCACAACAGATCAATTACTATAGTTGTTGTGTTTCCATAGCAACTGTAGAATCACCACAACAGATTAGGTACTATAGCTGTTGTGTTACCATAGCAACTGTGGAATCACCACAACTGATCACTTACTATAGTTGTTGTGTTACCATAGCAACTGTAGAATCACAACAACAGATCAATTACTTTAGTTGTTGTGTTACCATAGCAACTGTAAAATCACAACAACAGATCAATTACTTTAGTTGTTGTGTTACCATAGCAACTGTAAAATCACAACAACAGATCAATTACTTTAGTTGTTTTGTTACCATAGCAACTGTAAAATCACAACAACAGATCAATTACTTTAGTTGTTGTGTTACCATAGCAACTGTAAAATCACAACAACAGATCAATTACTTTAGTTGTTTTGTTACCATAGCAACTGTAAAATCACAACAACAGATCAATTACTTTAGTTGTTGTGTTACCATAGCAACTGTAAAATCACAACAACAGATCAATTACTTTAGTTGTTTTGTTACCATAGCAACTGTAAAATCACAACAACAGATCAATTACTTTAGTTGTTGTGTTACCATAGCAACTGTAAAATCACAACAACAGATCAATTACTTTAGTTGTTTTGTTACCATAGCAACTGTAGAATCACCACAACATATTGATTATTATAGTTGAGTTACCATAGCAACTGTAGAATCTCGTCTACAGATCAGTTACTATTGTTGTTGTGTTACCATAGCAATTGTAGATTAAAACTGGATTATCCGAAAACTTCGGCACTTTCAAAGACAGATCGTCAGCCTCCCGTAAAGAAGGAAGTGGATTTCTGACGAGCAGGAAGTACCTTAGTGAGGTCACAGATGTGCAGCAGGTCTTTCTGGGCTCCGCCGTTATAAACTCGCTCTCGTTCGCGGGCCACGTCTTCATCCTCCTCCGCTGATGAAGTAAACGGAGACTTCACGGACCTGTCAATACAAGTTTGTTCATTTAAGGTGAACACTACGTTTGACATTGGTATATAGACACAAAGGGTGCCATTAGCATGAATGCTAGCGTGGATGCTACACGTATTAATTTCAAATATATCTCATATATTTATATATTTTATTTCATGGTCTGTTAAAATTCTTGATTCTGATTGGCTGGGAGGTGTGCAGTAAAGCAGTTGATTACATGCTTGTCTGGAATACTGGATTCTGATTGGTCAGTTTGTGACATTCTAAAGTTTGTTATTACCAGATGACATCCGCTGAATAACACAGACTGGTTTTCAGGCTTTGCTCTCACCGTGGTTTGCAGAAGAACTTGTACTGGATCAGGAGTGTGACGGCGAACATGACGGCGCCCTGGATGGACATGGCAAACAGATTCTTGCCCACCATATTCCAGGTGAGGGGATTCACGAAGCGGTCTTCACCTGAGAAAACACACACACACACACACATCAGATTTTGTGTGGGAGTGTATGAGCATGTGTGTAAGTATGTGTCAGTGTGTATGCGTATGTGTGTGTTTGTTCATGTATATAAGTGTTTGTGTGTTTATATCAGTGAACGTGTGTGTATGTGTGCTAGTGTGTATGCATGTGTGCATTATATGTGTATGCATGACTGTGCGTGTTTATGTATGTGTATGCGTGTGTGTGTTTTACCCAGGTTTTGGTAGAGTGTGGCCACCGCCTGGTTTTTGGCCATGTCCATCAGGCCTCGTCCCAAACAGAAATGAGGAAACACCAGCAGAGCCTGTTTGACGATGTCATTGATACGAGTAATATTCTGGAGAAAACACACACAAACACACATACACACACACAACATTAGGCTTCAGTGTTTGACTGAGTGTTTCTCATAACCGCAGTGTCTTTTTCAGTATGATGTCTGCACTAGTACAGTATATAGTAATATATATTTATATCTGAAGTCAATGAAATATAATTGTGATGGTATTTGAGCACTGTACGGTTCACACAGCTGAGGGAATCATGGGAAGCTTTTCTTGCTTTATGTTCATTCATCATCACAATCACCAGAAACCGAGACTCTCACAGGGTTTATACTGACCCATATTCTCTAACACACACACACGCACACACACACGCACACACACACAGACATACACACACAAACAGACACACACACAGACGCACACACACAGTGGCTACAGAGAGAGAAACAGAGCTGTGATTGGCTACAGAGTGAGAAACAGAGCTGTGATTGGGTATTGAGTGAAAAACCGAGCTGTGACTGGCTGTAGAGAGAGAAACAGAGCTGTGATTGGCTACAGAGAGAGAAACAGAGCTGTGATTGGCTTTAAAGAGAAAAAAAAGAGCTGTGATTGGCTATAGAGAGAGAAGCAGAGCTGTGATTGGCTGTAGAGAGAGAAACAGAGCTGTGATTGGCTGTAGAGAGAGAAACAGAGCTGTGATTGGCTTTAAAGAGAGAAACAGAGCTGTGATTGGCTATAGAGAGAGAAACAGAGCTGTGATTGGCTATAGAGAGAGAAACAGAGCTGTGACTGGCTGTAGAGAGAGAAACAGAGCTGTGATTGGCTACAGAGAGAGAAACAGAGCTGTGATTGGCTTTAAAGAGAAAAACAGAGCTGTGATTGGCTATAGAGAGAGAAACAGAGCTGTGATTGGCTATAGAGAGAGAAACAGAGCTGTGATTGGCTATAGAGAGAGAAACAGAGCTGTGATTGGCTTTAAAGAGAAAAACAGAGCTGTGATTGGCTATAGAGAGAGAAACAGAGCTGTGATTGGCTATAGAGAGAGAAACAGAGCTGTGATTGGCTATAGAGAGAGAAACAGAGCTGTGATTGGCTTTAAAGAGAAAAACAGAGCTGTGATTGGCTATAGAGAGAGAAACAGAGCTGTGATTGGCTATAGAGAGAGAAACAGAGCTGTGATTGGCTATAGAGAGAGAAACAGAGCTGTGATTGGCTATAGAGAGAGAAACAGAGCTGTGATTGGCTATAGAGAGAGAAACAGAGCTGTGATTGGCTATAGAGAGAGAAACAGAGCTGTGATTGGCTATAGAGAGAGAAACAGAGCTGTGATTGGCTTTAAAGAGAAAAACAGAGCTGTGATTGGCTATAGAGAGAGAAACAGAGCTGTGATTGGCTTTAAAGAGAAAAACAGAGCTGTGATTGGCTATAGAGAGAGAAACAGAGCTGTGATTGGCTATAGAGAGAGAAACAGAGCTGTGATTGGCTATAGAGAGAGAAACAGAGCTGTGATTGGCTATAGAGAGAGAAACAGAGCTGTGATTGGCTACAGAGAGAGAAACAGAGCTGTGATTGGCTACAGAGAGAGAAACAGAGCTGTGATTGGCTTTAAAGAGAGAAAAAGAGCTGTGATTGGCTACAGAGAGAGAAACAGAGCTGTGATTGGCTTTAAAGAGAGAATCAGAGCTGTGATTGGCTTTAAAGAGAGAAACAGAGCTGTGATTGGCTGTAGAGAGAGAATCAGCTGTGATTGGCTACAGAGAAACAGAGCTGTGATTGGATATCGAATGAGAAACAGAGCTGTGATTGGATATCGAATGAGAAACAGAGCTGTGATTGGCTATAGAGAGAGAAACAGAGCTGTGATTGGCTATAGAGAGAGAAACAGAGCTGTGATTGGCTATAGAGAGAGAAACAGAGCTGTGATTGGCTATAGAGAGAGAAACAGAGCTGTGATTGGACCAAAGGAGTGTTAGCAGACTCTCTTCACTAAAGAAGACACTTCTGCAGCATCGTCTGCCATTCCCCATATCTTTATCCAGCATGAACGTCCCTCCGAGAGACAAAGTCCAGTTTTAACGCATCGCCTGTCAATAACGTCAAATCAGCTCCAGCGCAGGCTCTCGGAGACGCTTTATTAGCAATAAAACATCAGCTCGGGGCAGAGAGGATTGTGGGTAGAGACACAGAGAATGAAGAATGAAAGACGCCAGTTTCTCTCCAATAACACACACCCTGGTCTCGCTCAGCAAAGGTGCTGTTTTGAGCTGATTTGAGCTCTTCACGCTCACCAAACATGCTGAATAACTTATAAAGGTATTCATTTTTAATAACTTTCAGGAAAACAGCTAAAAAAAACAGACTAAAATGATATTCTCATCAGTTCTGAAGGCAAATGGGAGTCCAACCTGGTACTAGTAAGGTGTACCTAATAAAGTGGCCGGTAAATGTATATTATTATGAGTATATTGTATTAAGTATGTGTGTTTAACTGTGTATGTGTGTGGGTATGTGTGTGCGTGTGTGTCTCACCGGGTCGTCGAAGAGCTCCATGACGAAGGTGGCGACGCTGCCGTTGATGCCGATGAACAGGTTGATGCAGGTCAGAACCACATACGCTGTGCTGGGAACACTGAAGACGAACGAGAACGGGTACATCATCGGAGTGATGGACCACCTGCAGGACACACACACACAGGTAAATGATCACATATGAAAACACACACACAGACACACACACACACACACACACACACACACACACACACACACACACACACACACACACACACACACACACTGACCCGTAGAGCGCCAGCAGCAGGATCAGCGCAGGCAGGTTTGGTGGAGAAACGTAGGACTTTTGTTGGAAACAGAGGAAGATGATGATGACGATCACACACGGGACGATGTAGTTACACTGAAACACACACATACACAATACATCAAATACTTTATTTTGTAATAAATAATAAGGATGTTATTATTATTTTAAGCATTAAGCTCATTGCAATCAGATGCTAAACCAAACAAAAATAATAATAATAATAATTTTTACAGCAGCTTAATATTTAATGAGTTGACCTGGTGATGAAATTATGCGTGCAAATAAACACCCCATTCCAACCCATCTGTGAATATAAAACACATTTAATGGGAGGGAAATAATTAAAATGGAACAAACGTAAATGAACATGTATATTTTTGTATTATTAGATCCTGTTGTGTTTTTTTATTGGATGTATCTTGCTAACTTATAACAAAACCATGCTGAACATTATGTCGCAAACCCCGTTCATCTCCTTTGACACTAATTGATCCATGCGTGAGTTATTAGCGGAGGTTATTCGTCTCGCTCTGAGACTGTAATGTGCGTTTCTGCCTGGGCCAGTGGAGCCTGTGAAGCGTCTTCAGCGCTGAATTGATGGAGTTTTAATCGAGTTTTAATTAGCTATCTCAGCTCCTCTTTTTAGTGCTCATCCGTCTCTCTCTGGACAGTGTGGAAGTGCTCAGAGGCCATGCGTTATTATAGTTTTCTTTCTTGTTTTCTCACGATCACCAATTCATTTTTTTGGTATTGCGACATTTCGAAAGTTGTTTTCTCGTTATCACAACTTAATTTTTTGTTAGCAGCTTAATTTTGTCATTATCTCAACATATCAGAATGTATTTTCTCATTATAATAACTTATTTTTATTATTTTGACAATTTAAAAGTTATTTTCTCGTTATCTACACAATCGAAAGTTGTTTTCTCATTATTACAATTTAATGCTTTTTTGCTATCTTGAAATACTGCAAGTTGTTTTCTTGTTATCGTGACTTAATTTTGTCGTTATCTCAACATATCGAAAGTTGTTTTCTCATTATCACGACTTTATTAATTAGTTTATTTTGACATATCAAAAGTTGTTTTTTCGTTATCACAATTAATTTTTTTGCTATCTTGACAAGTCACAAGTTCTTGTTATCGGGACTTAGTTTTTGTTTTCTCGACATATCGAAAGCTGTATTTTCATTATTACAAGGTAATTTTTTGTTATCTCGACAAATTAAAAGCTGTATTCTCGTTATCTTGAAATATCGCAAGTTGCTTTCTTGTTATCGTGTCTTAATTTTAGCGTTATCTCAACATATCAAAAGTCATTTTCTCATTATCAAGAGTTAATTATTAGTTTATTTTGACATATCAAAAGTTATTTTTTCGGTTTCACAATTAAATTTTTTGCTATCTTAACAATTCACAAGTTCTTGTTATCGTGACTTAATTTTTTGTTTTCTCGACATATCGAAAGCCAAATTCTTGTTATCTTGACATATTGCAAGTTGGTTTCATGTTATTGTAACTTAATTTTTAATTTTCTCAGCATATCAAATCGAAAGCTGTATTCTCATTATTACAACTTAATTTTTGTTATCTTGACATTTCGCAAGTTGTTTTCTTGTTATCGTAACTTACTTTTGTTGTTATCTCAACATATCATAAGTTTTCTCGTTATCATGACTTAATCTAAATTTTGACATATCAAAAAAAAATTCTCATTATGACAATTACATTTTTTTGCTATCTTGACATATCGCAAGTGCTTTTCTTGATATCGTGACTTAATTTTTTAGTTTCTCGACATTTCGAAAGCTGAATTCTCATTAATACAACTTAACTTTTTGTTAGCTCGACATATCGAAAGCTGTATTCTCGTTATCTTGACATATTGCAAGTTGGTTTCATGTTATCGTAACTTATTTTTGTCGTTATCCCAACATTTCAAAAGTTGTTTTCTCGTTAATTAGTAGTTTACTTTGACATATTGAAAGTTGTTTCTCGTTATCACAATACTTTTTTTGCTATCTTGGCATATTAAAAAATGTTTTTTTGTCAATGCGACTTTTTTTTTCTTGTTTTCTCGTTGTCACAACTAGATTTTTTCTGTTATCTCAACACATGGAAAGTTGTTTTCTCGTTATTATGACTTAATTTTCTCATCACCTTGAAATATCGAAAGTTGTTTCCTTGTTATTACAACTTAATTTCTTCGTTATCTTGATGTATCAAAAGTTTCCATGTTATCAAGACTTGATTACATATTTAAAGTTCTTTTCTCATTATCAAGATTTAATTTCAACTTGATCTTGACATATCTAAAGTTGTTTTCTCGTTATCACAACTTAATTTTTCTTATCTCAACATATCGAAAGTTGTTTTCTTGTTATCACAACTGAATTTTTTTGTTGTCTCGACATATTGAAAGGTGTATTCTCGTTATCATGACTTGGTGTACCATGTCCCAGGCGAAGTTGGCGAGCCAGTAGATGGTGGGATTGACGCCGCTGACGAACTGCAGGTGTTTGGCTTTAGTGACGCGTTCCTGGATGAGAAACAGCACGAAACTGGCTGGTATGAAGGACATGGCGAAGATCACGCAGATCGCCACCACCACGTCTGTAGACGACGATGCCCTGAAACACAAAAAGACACAAATTCGCTGAATTTACCAGTCAAAAAAGAGGAATCTGCCCAGATGACAAAGTACGCTCGTCATTCATAGTAAATACTACAGTGTCGTAGTGTATTTAACCTATACAAATGTAAATAGCTTGGATTAATCAGTTGTGGCGATTCTACGGTTGCTATAGTAAAACAACAACAATAGTAACAGATATGTTGTGGTAATTCTACAGCTGCTATGGTAACACAACAACTATAGTAATTGATCAGTCGTGGTAATTCCACAGTTGCTATGGTAACACAACAGCAATAGTAACAGATCTGTTGTGGCGATTCTACAGTTGCTATGGTAACACAACAACAATGGTAGTTGTTCTGATTCTACAGTTGCTTTGGCAACACAAACCACAGCACAATGATGACAACAGACTCACAGTGCTGCTGTTGAGAGCTGTTCTCTGGTCAGGTTGAGCGGGTGGTTGAATGTGGTGATGCCGTAATCTTCAGGTCTGCGTCCCGCCGGCAAATTCCCTCTCAGAGCGCCGTTACTGGCCACATTCAGGAACGACACCAGAGAGTGCCAGCCCGGATTGTAGAACCACACCTGCGCGCACACGCACACGCATACACACACACACACACACATGGTACAAAAACACATAAGCAAATGGACAAACACACAGAGACAAAACATGGTTAAAAAATCACATGCAACAACACACATAAAACATACACAATGACACACACACATTCAGGCACACACACATACAGACAAACATGGTAAATTGCAACATTATAAATATTTCCAGGCATTGATGCTGCTTTAAAACACTTTATTGTATGAAAGCAGCAGGGAAATAAAGGTGATTACTTTAGGTACATTTGGTTGCACGTTTCAGATGACAAATCCACTAGAGGGCGCTGTATGCATTTGAGTAAATCTAAAATACGTTATGTAGGGAATAAATTGTAAAGTGTTCATTCTACCCACAAAAAGCAGTCAAGATTGCAGATTCCCAAACATTTAGGATGAAGCAGGTATTTCCAATAAGCCTGTGCTGATCATTTCTTACCTTCATATTGTCTCTGGTGCCCAACTCCAATAAAAACAACCGAATGGCCTGGAAAATATCCTCAGACTGCTTAAACTGCAGAAAGAGAGAGAATAAGAGGTTAAATTTTAGTTCTCTAAGGAGAACATTTATTTCAGCATTTTTGTGAACAACACCTAACCACAAATACAACAATATAACTTTTTTTTGCACTGACACACATGTAAATAACAGAGTTGATGTGTTTGGTCTTAGTGGAGTAGATCTGCTACAATGCTGCTGCTGCTTTAATTATTATAGCAATTATAAGTTATTATAAGTACCAAGGCCTACTACTGCCAGTATATAAACAGTCATGCAGTCAGAGAATATACAAGTAACACACTGCTGCTGTAAACATAACATATATGTACCCCCAAAACAAGGCATAAGAACATGAAGACAAAACAAACCAATGAAACTTGATCGTTTGTAAATAAACCATTGCATTAACAATATGCATATATCCAAATAAATGAACAGAAATAGAACAGATTAACCCCCCCAAATAATATTTATAATAATATAGGTATTTCCAAAAAAATTAACTGAAATAGAACAGATTAATGTAATGTTGAACATGATCCATTTACCTGGGTCTAATCCTGATTCTATTTTTTAAACCAAATTAAAAATTATATAAATAAATAAATAAATAAAATATAAAACAAACCAAAATAAAGCAGAAAAATAAAAAATAATAAAATAAAATAATAAATACGTAAAAAAAACTAAATAAATTCTCATAAATAATAAATTAAATTAAATGACAAATTATAAAAAAACAAACCAAAATAAACAAAATTAAAATAGAAAAAATCTATAAAAATT